GTTCTTTTCATATATTCGTTGTCAATAATAGTACATAAATCATCTTCGTCGTTATATCTTATTTGCTGATGATTTTTGATATGAAACTGTAAAGAATAAACATTTGGATGAATTCCCACCAAATTAAACGAGAAAATCCTCCACATAACTTCAGGTGGAGATAATCTAGCAGATTGATAAGTTGAGATTTTGTCGGTGTCTTTTCCTGTTTCATTTGTGGGAACTGAAAAATGAATATGATCATATCCTTTATACACATATTTGTACAAATATTTTACAACTTTAATAGAAGAACATAATTCAACATTAATGTGGCAGTCATATTTTGCGCTCAAATAAGGATTATACGGTACAACCCATCGATTCTAACATTTGACCTCTAACTTTAATAGAAATACCGTTATCACGACGTTTATACAAAGGATATGAGTTATGACCGAATATAGTAGTATTACAATAATCTCTATGATATTTATTTTTGCAACTTTTGTTTGCTTCCATACATACGTTTTTTTGGATTAAGGTGTCGACAAGGGCCATGCATATTATGTTTAGCAATAACGGAATGAGGATAAGGATATTTGTTTTCATTAGAAATTTCACAGCAAACTATCTTATCAACATCTAGAGCAGAACAGATTTTGTGGCCGTAGTTGAAAATTAACAATAGATGTACATAAGAAAGTCCTCATTTTTTGAAATTCAATAACATATATTTGCACAACAACTGGGACTAAGATATTTTTTTTTTGTATAAATCGTTTTTCAACTCTTCTAATTTTGCTCTAAATATACGCACAATTAGATCAGGTCGATTTTGAATCTCATCATTGTGTTTTAGTTCTTGCTTAATCTCTGGCCAATTTGGATTGCATGTTATAGTCAAAAAGATGTCCCGATTTTCCATAACGCCGTACAGTAGCCATTGCATCCATATATCTCTTTAACATATCTCTAGGCCCACATGTAAAAGATTGAAGTAAAACAATTTTTCTTCTAGTTTTGCACCCTCTTGTCTCTCCATTTTGAACTCTATCTACAATACCTTGTAAAGTTCAGCTCGAATTTGATTCTGGTGGTTACGAAAATAGTCTAACCGTGCAGTCTCGATCTTAACATATATATCTACAACATATTGCTCGAGCAATCTACCACTATGAAGTAAAATAGACTTACCGAAAGGCCTAATTTGCAATTTGTACAAATAATATTTTTGACAAGAAACATGTGATCCATTCAGCACTGCAAAAAAGGAATTCATCATTCGCTTACAACATTGACACTAGAAAACCTAGGTGAATCTAAAATAACATAGATTTGCAAACCTTGATTTTCTTTTTCAATAAATTCAGCTGTAGAGGTAATTGTATTAGGAAATTGAACAAATTTAGACAAATGTTTAGCTCTTCTGCATCTCCCAATGCCTCATGCCAACCAGATTCACCGTATGGAAAAAGCAAAGGATATTGCAAAGGATCATAGAAACTGTAGTAATAACGAACTCTATGTGAATCATCAGAACGACCATATATAATAATATCACGAATGCGAACATTAGCATTCTCATCGTCTTTGACCCTTATAGCAGCTATTTGAGATACTGTAAGAGTGTTAAAGACTCGTTGATCAAATCCTAGATCGCATCTCATGTGTATTTCATGGTCTTGCAAAGTACATTGGACAAATTTTCTAAATTTTCATACGATTTTTAAGTTCATTATCCGTGTCATAAAAATATAACTTCATATAAAAAGGTTTATTGTCCTGTGGGATAAGTTCTTATATGGATTTACCTTCAGGATTTCAATTAGAATAATTAAAGTATATTCATCAAAGTTCTCTGAAATTTTCATACGGTTTTGAATTTCATTATTTTTATCATAAAAATATAACTGCATATAAGAAGGCTTATTGTTCTCTGGGATAAGTTCGTTTACATCATAATATACTTGTCTTTGAACTCTAAATATGTAAATACCTCGGTATACTACCTCGGTATACTTTAAAGAGCTCTTTGTCGTATTTGACACCAAATGAAGTGAAAGCAAAGTAGTTATTATATCCCCGTACAATTTTTTAAAATTCCATACATTTAGATTCTTTAGAAGTAAATAAGTTGTACAATTCAGTGGGTTAATCAGGCATAGAGAGATGAACTTTTCCATCAGAACAACAGAAACCTTTACTTTCTTTATAAATTTTTCTTGCACCACAATATTTATAACTATTGCATGTCGGTAATACGTATGCAGTCGTTGGTCAGGTCGCGGGGGTCGAGGGGGCAGCGCCCCCGAAAGGAATTCTAATTTTCTTGTATGTGTTGAAGAGTTTATCTGTTGGAAATAAAATTTTTTTTAGCAAAATCTTCCACACACCATCAGTCACGAAACTAGTAGTTGGATGACAGAGGAGATATTTTCTGAAACTTCATGAAATTTAAACAAAAATCAATCTTACCTCAGATTATAATCTGGAACAAAATCCTCCTAAAAGATTTCTCTATACCTAACGTAAGATAAGGAAGAACGAAAATATAAAGCTAAACAAAACCGAAAAAATCGAAACCACTTACCGATGGAGATCGTTTTGCCACTTCACGACGCTACTGAGAAAAAGTGAGAGAGAAAGAGTGGGGAGTTGGCCTATTATTTTTGATTTGTCACCAATATTACAGGCAAGCGAAGACAACGAAATATAGAGGAATGTGAAATTGATTGTCGCAATTTGTGAGAGAGAATATTGCAATACTTTATATATGTATGGAACAAACATGATATTTTATAGTCGATTGATATTCACTGCAATACCTTAGCATGGAAGAAACAACTACCGCCTTTCACCGCCTACTTTTTTTTATGAATGAGGTATATGTACCTTAAAATGGAAGAAAGAACCACCTTTGACTTATGAAAGAGGTATATGAAAGAGGTATGAAAGAGGGATAAAATCAGTAAACGGAGGGATTCCACCACCTTTCACCGAAAATACAGCTGCCGCCTTTCAATGCCTACATTTTTGACCAAATCCCCAACGTTTTGTTTCTTATGAATTTCAAAAGGGATAAAATGGGAAGATGAAATACGTCCCGAATGAACAATAGACGGAGGGGTTCCCTCTTTTAATAGAAGAGGGATTTAGTCTGCTGAATTTGGTAGTTGACTTTATTTTAATATATTTCTAATGATTTTTTTTGGTGAGAATTAGAATTAATTCCATGTTTGACACCCATTAAAATAAAACTCTTTCTTTCTCAAACTTCTTTTCAACGGTGTATTTCTTACAACAAAATATTTTACAGATAAATCTAAAATATTTTGTTGCTATTTAACTCACATTTTCCAAAATATTTCTCAAAAAAAAAATGAATTTAATGATTATGAAACAAGGACTAAATGCTTGCATTAAAGGACAAAATGAGTATTAATTCATCTTGTCGTTTGAAGAGCTCGAGGATAAACAGTTTTGTAAGACGATTTTTTCCTTCAAAATTCCGTGAATATTGTTAAGAATTCAATTTTTATAAAGAAATTTTATTTATTTATTTACGTAATATTAAAACACATTATCTTACCTCATCATCTAAATTCCAACCAAACTATTGGTGTTCTGACTTTCACAAGTTTCCACATGCAAGTGGGATTAAATTAAATACGTTTTATCTCACAAGCAATTCAGTCTCAAATCAAAGATTTTTTTATTAATTAGATTAATTAAGCAAGCTTTTGTTAGACCACAATAAATAATCTTTTCCAGCTATTAACGAGTTCAACTGCCACACAGTGTTAATTTTTGTCATCACGCCCCTTTTCGACTTGGAATTGGAAGTTGGAAGAATAAAACTTGAGGACATGCATTTTCGGATGTATCAAGAATGAGTAACACTATTCAGCATTATTAATGTTTTAACATTGGTCTATATGACATCACTTGTGTCATTAAATTGTAAATTCAATTAAATACAAGAATTTATGACTCTTTTATTAGGATCTGACACATAAATTGGTATTCATTATTCATCTTGAATGGACGGGATATGATACACAAAAATTTAATTGACGGGATCAAATGTTGTCTGTCTAATCTCCCTCTATAGTTACTAAACTTAATATACGAAGTAATCAATCCTGAAAGATTTAAATAATTGGAGAACAGGTTTAAGGTCTTAATCACGTGGATGTATCATTTACTTTGTCAATGCATGCAAGACATTCTATAAAATATAAGAGGATCAATGTTTTTAATATCAAAAATTACAATTCCTAACCAACCATTATATTCAAAAATGCAAGGAATATACCTCAAATAGCTAGTTAAAGAAAACATAAAAATAGATAATGATAATGCTAAATTTGTTTTACATATAATAATAGATTAACAGAGCACAGGGACATTCTTAATTCTTAAATTCAAAACTCACGGCAACCCAAAAGTATGAGTGGAAAAACAACTTTGAAAATGTTTGGTTATATATAAATACTTTAAACTAAAAGTTGAAAATGTTACACATTCTAGACTAGAATTTTGTGTCCATTTCTATATTCTGTGTCCTAAGGGTATCTTGTGAAACCATTTTAATTAGAAGAATAGGTCTCCAAAACCTTTCACAAGAAGTTTGATTAGATTAATTCAATTTTTTAATTTCACCACCAAATATTATATTAAAAACCGTGTTGTTGTTGGCTTTTCTTCATCCAACCCTTTGAAAGTTACAGAAAACCATCCAATATTATCCATGGATGCCAGTTCATTTCTTTAATTTAAAAGGGAAAAACCATACAAAAATAAAAATATAGTAAACTGAAAATAGAAAAACCTTTTTAATTAGATTATGAAGTCAAATTGGGTTTTTATTTCTTGCATGCATCAGCAGCTACCCAATTTGCTTTCTATTATTTTAAACGCAGACACACACACATATATATATATATACACATCTAGTAGGTTACAACCTTAATCAAACCTTGTTATATACAACCAACCTTAAAGGTGTAGATATCAATATGAATATCAATTTATACCTTTGGGGATTATTATCCCTCTTGTTCTTGTTCCCGAAATCCTCTTTTCAAGAATCATATAATCCTCCACCAGTTCCAAATCCTAGGTTGCAAAGTGCCTTCATAGCCCTCCAAGCATGGAAACATGCCATCACAGATGACCCTAAAGGCTTCACTTCAAACTGGAATTGCCCTACGGTTTGTAACTACACAGGAGTCTACTGCGCGCCGGCCCAGGACGACCCTGATGTAACCACCGTTGCCGGGATTGACCTAAACCATGCTGGCATATCTGGTTCATTGCCTGAAGAGTTAGGCCTCCTTACTGACCTTGCTCTCTTCCATATAAACTCAAACAAGTTCTGTGGAACACTTCCGGCTAGTTTCCGTGATCTTCGTCTTCTCTATGAGCTTGATGTAAGCAATAATCTTTTTTCTGGTGAATTCCCTTCTGTTGTTCTTTGCCTTCCTTCACTCAAATTCCTCGATATTCGATTCAATAAGTTCTATGGGAAGGTCCCTTCAGCACTTTTTGACCAGAAACTCGATGCCTTGTTCATAAACAACAACAATTTCAAATTCACTTTCCCCAAAAATCTTGGCAACTCTACCGTTTCAGTCATTGTCCTGGCCAACATCAATCTGCAGGGGTGTTTGCCTCCAAGTATAGGCAAAATGGCAAAAACCCTGAAAGAAATCATTCTCATCAACACTGGATTAACTGCTTGTTTGCCAGAAGAAATCGGATTGTTGACAGAGGTGACAGTTTTGGATGTTAGTTATAACAGTCTTGTTGGGTCACTGCCAAAATCTATGGGGAACATGAAGAGTATTGAGCAGCTAAATGTCGCGCACAACAAACTTTCGGGTGAAATTCCAGACAGTATTTGTTCCTTGCCGAGGTTGGAGAATTTCACATACTCCAATAATTACTTCTGCGTTGAAGCAAATTCATGCCTCAAGTTGAAAGATAAAGATGACAGGAAGAACTGTATACCCTATAGGCCCAAACAGCGATCAGCTGAGGAATGCAAAGCCTTTTATTCACATCCTGTGGACTGTAGTGCTTTTGGTTGTTTACCACCACCTCCACCACTGTCTCGGCCGCCGCCACCTCCTCCTCCTCCACCGTATTATTCTTATCATCATTATCCATGATCATAGAACAAAAACAATAACACAAATAATGCAAAGCTGATAAAATTTTCTATTCACTCAATCATTTGTGATGTATAGATCTGTAATTTTTAATCAATAATACTTTGAGATTGAGGTTTTCATGTTCATTGCTTTCAATGTGGTAGTTCAAATTGTCCTCTCTCCAACAGTAGAAAATGTTAGGGAAAAAAAAGAAGGTAAAAATAAGTATTTTGAGATTGTCAACACTATAAAAAATACTCCAATATATTTGAGTCTTCGAGTTCAATCCTAAAAATTAAGAATAATAACCTAAGTATATATCTCTATTACAATTTTCATAATTAAGTCACTTGAGTGTATTACCCTCATGTCCCTATAAGTAGGCTACTCATATGAGAATAGCAATTATGGAATTCGACTACTCGTTTGAACTTTAAATATATCTAATTATTAATTTAAGTTTTTGGACTACGATACTATATGAATATTGAAATTTCAGATTGAAGGTCAAGATAGTTGTACAAACCCTTGTACGTTGATTAGTGATAAATATAGTTTCTACACTTATTCGAGGCCCTAAATCATGATATTTTATTGTCTTTTAGATAAAATTCTACCTAATTTATGTTATATTGTATTCTATAAGAAAAACTTTATGTTTAATGAAGAAACGGAGAAAAAATGAAAAGTGACGAAAAATGGTCAAATCCAAAGATGAAACCTTGGAAGAAACAATATATTAAATGGGTTGGAGTTAATGTGCCATAATAGACTTGTATAAAAAGGAGGAAAAACGGACAGGAAAGGAGAAGAAAAGACAGCGGCTAAAAACGAAAAAAAAAATTGTGGAGAGAAGAGACAGAAAAAGAGCCACAAAGAAAGAAAAAGAGAGAGAGAGAGAGAGAGAGAAGAGAGGAATAAAGACGGCTACCGACAGAATGAATGGACAGAAAGAGAGGAGAAAAAGAAAAAAAAACAAGTTTTTGCATAGAGTTTGGAGTTGGGAAAAGTCAAAAAAGGTGGCCAAGGGGAGAAAAAAATACACATACACGCAGAGAGAAAAGAAAGTAGAATTGGCTTGGCATACGCGTAGGAAGAAGTGATGTCGTTCCATTGTTGCATATTTTTATTTTTACAGTATGAATAACTAATTTTTATATTAAGAAAAATAATGTAGTCGACTAGTGATCCTTTATTTTTCTATTCAAGATTTCTGTGATCTTCTCTTATGTGTTTGTTTTACTATGAGTTTAATACATTAAATTACTTGATCTATTCAAGATTTCTGTGATTTTTCTTATATGTGTTGGTTTTACTATGAATTTAATGTATTGAATTAGTTGATCATTAATTTGATAATCATGTGAGTCTCATACGAATCGAGATGTGAGTTTGAGATTTAGACCATATAGTAAAATCCGGTAAACTAGTATAACGTGTAGGGATACACATTCTAATTATTGCGGTAATAATATGAATTCTTAGAATTAGTGTTTTGTTTAACTAAAGTTGATTCACATAGAGATATTGAATTTAATTAGTTAAATAGGCTCAATAAGAACTCGAGAGGAGTAATTGAATGCAATAGAAGAATTCGATCGAATACTACATTATATTATGAATCTTGAATTAAGAATTAAGGTGATCGATAGATGAAATTGTTATGCCCTAATATTTATTACATATTTGAATCTTCAATTCAATCAACCGTTGTTTGCAATTTTTATATTTTCAATTAGTTAAAAGTAGTTAGGAAAAATAATCACAACTATCATAATTATTTACTTACTTTTATCAAATAGGAGTTAGAAAAAATTGATCATGTCTTAAAGTATAGTCCTCATTGGAACGATCTTCAAACTCAAAGGTCCACTATAGTACTTGTTACGATATCGTACACTTGCAATATAAAAACGTAACAAGTTTTTGGTGCCGTTTTCGGGAACTATTTACTTTTAGTCTTAGTTTATTTTATTTGTAACTATTATTTAATTTCATTTTCTTTTCATTTCTTTTATTACAAAAAAAAAAGTATTCATTGTATCCTTCGTACCCAAAGCGACGATTGAACCGTTTGACTAGAAAATAGAACGTACTTCCAGATGAAGACATAAGGAACACAAAAAAAAAATAAAAAAAATAGTAACATCAAATGGCTGACGATCAAAATATTCATATTCCTATTCAGCCAATTGGACAAGTGGCCGCAAGAGTAATGGGGCCACCGGATCAGCAGGACGAGCGGGGGGAAATAAATGAAGGAGATTTGCCAGTTTCAATGTTCTTGACGCCCATAGCTGTGCATGCGCGCTCTAGTATTGTGTATTTAGATTTCGAGATAAATAATTTTCAAATAAGGGCAGAGTTGATCAATTTGATGAACAACACTCTTCAATTCTACGAGCTACCTCATGAAAATCCGTACACACATACTCCAGATTTCTCAGAAATTACCAGAACTTTCATACTCCGTGGGTTAATGAAGACGCTATTAAGTTGCGACTATTTCCATATATGATGAGGGATGCTGCATTGGAGTGGTTAGACGCCAAACCTCATCTAAGCATTACTAAATGGGAAGAAATGATCAGAATATTTTGCAACAAATTCTTCTCATGGTGAAAGTAGCTAAAATCAAATTGAAAATTCAAACTTTCCAACAGAAAGATGGAAAGAGTTATCACGGGCATGAAACGGATTCAAAGAGCTGATGCGAAAATGTCCAAATCATAGAATCACAATAGGTAATCAAGTGCAATATTTCTACACCGAACTCTCACCACTATCAAAATCTCATGTGGATTCATTTGCTGGTAGATCGATAATAGGAAAATTAGTACAACAAACCATGTATTTATTTGAGTTAATTGCCACTACACATTCAATGTTTTCATCAAAAAGAGTGGTACCACCGAGAGCATTTGGGATGTATGAATTAGATAGCACATCATCTACAAACACGCAGATAGCAGCTTTGACATAGCATGTAGAGTTATTGATGAAATCACAAACAAGAAGAGCACATGCAGTGATGGATGGTCCATCTTGTCAAAACTGTGGAGCTAACCATTTGACAGAAAATTGTATGTCCATGGGCTTTCCCGAAGAACAAATCAACTTCATTCATAATGGGTCTCGAAATTTTAACTCATATTCACAAACATATAACCCGGGATGGAAACAACACCAACTGTGGAGCTAACCATTTGACAGAAAACTGTATGTCTATTGGCTTTCCCAAGGAATAAGTCAACTTCATTCAGAATGGCTCCCACAATTTTAACCCATATTCACAAACATATAACGCATGATGGAGACAACACCCGAACTTCAGATGATTAGATAATCAGCAAGGAAATGGCTCAAATAATGCTTAACAGGAAAACAACCAAGTTTGGAAGAAATGTTGAACTAGTATATGCAGAAAACAGACAAGGTGTTCCAACAAATTGACATAAATTTTTAGAATCAGCAGGCATCAATCAAGAAATTGGAGACACAAATTGGTCAGATTGCTCAACAACTTACAGAACGCCCATAAGGGACATTACCAAGCAATACAATGATAAATCCAAAGGAGCAAGTGTAAACTATTATAACTAGGAGTAGAGTACAATTGCGAGAGATACATGTGAAGAGGCATGATAGAAAAGACAAAGAAATAGAAGTTGACGAGGCTCATAAAGAGGAAAAAGCTGCATTAGTTGCAAAAGAAGAGGAAAAGAGAAAAGAAAAATCTATAGTAAGAGCACCAAAGTCCCATCAAAGCTTATGTACCACCAATTTCCTTTCCTCAATAGTTGCAGAAAAAGAAGTTAGACAAGCAATTTACCAATTTTGTGGAGATTTTCAAGAAATTGCACATAAACATCACTTTTACAGATGCAATAGCACAAATGCCTAGTTATGCAAAATTTCTAAAAGAAATTATGTCAAACAAGAGGAAGCTAGAAGAATATGAGACAGTCTGCCTAAACGAGGAATGCAAAGCAATTCTCTTAAAAAAGCTACCTCATAAGCTAAATGACTCATGAAGTTTTACAATACTGTGCACTATTGGTTCTAATTATTTCGAACATTCCTTATGTGATTTAGGTGCTAGTGTTAACTTAATGCTACTTTCTATTTCCAGGTTTCTTGGATTGAGAAAAGCTAAACCTACAACAATTTCATTGTAACTGGCTAATAGGTCTATCAAAAGACCAAAGGAAATTATTGAAGATGTGCTAGTCCAGTTTGATAAGTTCATCTTCCAGACAGATTTCATTATCTTAGACATGGAAGAGGATTCAAATATTTCGCTAATCTTGGGAAGACCTTTCTTGGCTACCGAGAGAGCACTTATTGATATATATAAAGGAAAAATGATTCTTTGAATGGACAATGAGCATGTTATATTCAATGTGTTCAAGGCATCGTTAATCTCGAGAAGAACTTTCTTAGGTACCGGGAGAGTACTTATTGAAGTATATGACGAAAAATTATTCTTCAAATGGACAATGCGCAGGTTATCTTCAATGTGTTCAAGGCAATGAAACACCCATTAACTTCAGATACTTGCTGCTAAGTGACTGATACATTTGATGCAACACATCTAGCCATTCTATGTGAGGCAGTCAGTGCACAATCAGAGGCAACAAATGCAAAGAGTATAGAATGTACTGTACATTTGGCTGAACAACTAATTGGAAAGAGACATTGGCAATCCCACACAACATTAGTACCTTTAGTGGAGAGGGATCCAACTCTTAAGTTAACCCTTACCATCCCATCTCCATTATGTATATTTGGGAAACTCTTCAATACTTCCAATGATCATTGTAAATGACATGATAGAGGAGGATGAAGATAAGTTGTTGAAGGTACTTCGAAAGTACAAGACTACAATTGGATGGACCATAGTCGATATTCGAGAAATCAGTCCTACTTTTTGTATACACAAATTTTTAATGGAGGACAAGTCTAAGCTATCTATGGAAGGTTAGCGCAGATTAAATTCAACCTTAAATGAAGTAGTG